AACATAGATAATAATACCATATCAATATTTTCTGATGAAAATATACAGCACTTGCTGTTTTATCTCATCATTTGATTTTGATAGCTGGGGAAAACATGGCAATATATAGTGATACTGCAAAATCGGGATAATATCGTATCGTGACCGAAGTATCGCAACATGTATCGAATCGCAACCCTCATGCCGATACTCACCTCTAGTCAATGCATTATTTTAGTTGCTGTAATCATTGATATGAATTAACCCTAGATTCTTTAGATTCAGGCCCTTGTATCTAAAAATTTAAATAGTAATTACCAAAGATAGTGTTTTTTTAAACATTTGAAATCTAGAAAGGAGGGAGTAGGGTTGTTAAATGAGTCGATCGAGAATACAGCTTTAACCCAGATGACTCCTTTAGTCCACATTTTTTTGCACACCTTTATGTTATTGTTGCGGTTTTGTAGGAATGTTTCATTCTGCTGCAGACATAAAGCTTGGGAATTATAACCTATTTGATGCTGCAGTCTTCTATCCTAATGGCTGTTCTAAATGTCTTTGTTTTGGTTGCTGCCCAGCCATCCTCCTCCACCGAGCCAAGGCTGATTTGACACTGCTGGATGAGAACAGGAACACTGCCCTGCACCTGGCCTGCAGCAAGGTACACATTGTTTATATCTGCTTAATCCTGCTTTTCTTATTCTTTTTAAGATTGTCTTTATTACTTAGTAGATAGGTGACAATAATTTTATACATCTTTTATTTACCGTTTGTCTTCAGGCCCATGAGATGTGCGCTCTGCTGATTCTGGGAGAGATCCACAACCCCACTCTCATAAATGCCACCAACAGTGCTCTGCAAATGTAAGAACTCTGAGTTTCTAAACTATTGCATAACAGAATATAAAATACCACTGGACAGCCTTCAACCTTATCTTGCTATAAGGTCTCATGACGTAGTTTGATTTCCCTCTGCTTTGTTAAAAAAAAAAAAAAAAAGTTACCCATCTATAAAAAGTGATGCGTTTGGCCAGTTTTTTTCATGACATTTTTCCTAACATTGATGACGCTTTGATGACGCAGGCACTTCTTAGTCACTTGGTTCTCTTAAAGCACTTTTATATTCTGCATCTAAACAGCACCTTTAAATTTAAGGATAATTGTTAATCAGAATTTGTACAAATCTACATTTGGATTAAGGAAATTCTGTTTTTCAGTTTAAGGTAGAAGAACGTAACAAATTGTTTCATTTTGCAATAACTTATTTTTTTTTTTTTTTTATGTAAAAAATAACACAAATGAGTCTACAATGAAATATTCTTAATGTCTATCTAGCCAACTGTGCACTGTTGCATTACAAGTGATTTTTACAACATATAGAAACGTTTAGCTTAGAATTAAAATCAGAATTTATTTTGTCACAATTCCTCAAGTGTACCCTTGACAGTTTCAGCAGCTCAAAACAATATAAAACAAAACAGTTCAGGCAAATATTGCAATAAAAAGAAAACAAATGTTGCTATATATATATATATATATTTCACACACAAGCTTAGAGCTTGTAGCAGTGATTGAAGTTAATGTGATCGATCTGAATCTCTTTAATTTTTATCAGACTAAATTAAATAGATTTGCTATTAGCAGAAAAGTAATATGTTGACATCAAGCCATGATGTTTCCACCCAGACATATAATTGCACAGCTAAGGTCATTTATTTGTGTTGGTCATTAAAAGTCCAACTGTGGTGTCAGGTTTTTAATAATTGATGCCTTTAAATCATCTTACCAGAATATTTTTTTCTTTATAGTAAAGCCATAAATTAAAGTATTCTCATCTTTGAATTCTTGATGCATCTTTTAATTAAGATACTGTTGAAATTAGGTTTTCATGCCAGTGATCGTCTGATCTGTTATTATTATTTTTTTTTTCTTTGTCTTGTGCAGGCCCCTCCATCTTGCAGCTCGTAACGGCCTGGCCACGGTGGTGCAGGCACTGCTGAGTAGAGGAGCTACAGTGCTTGCTGTGGATGAGGAAGGTGAGAAACTTCCTAGCTTTTATGCTACCTGTTTTTTTATTTCCTGTTTTTGTAGATTTATTAGGGTAAAGTCAAAGATGAAAAGGTTTGGTACTATAGTCCTCATTGGTACATGAAGAGTTGTACATAATAAAACGTTATGTTGGCAGGGAATTTAATCATATTGTCTCAAACTTTGCAGTGCATATCAAAGTTTTCTCCAAAACCCTTAGATTAAAGGAGAACGATGTTAAAAGCCTACTCATTTTAGAACCCCTGGTTCTTGTGTCAGGAGGTTGGCTCATGATGTTCAACAGCCAATCAAAATCTTTTAAGCAGCATTTTCTAAACTTTTCTTACTTTAAATCTTCCTAATTTAAGACTCCCAAAACCCCACAAATTTTGTAGAAACATGTAAATTAAAACTGTAAAATATATTGTGAAAACTTCATCATGCAATATAAGCATGTGCAATAGTTATTGGTTGGAGCACAGTCATTGTAGGCTACTTCATCATGTGATAAAGGTCAGAGATGAAAAATAATTTCCGGTTATTGCAACACTTTCCATTATTCTTCAAAACTCTTCGTTAGCTGAATCGCATTAAATGCTACATTTTTGTTTGTTTGCCTTAGACACTGGGAAAAAATATGGCCAAAAATATTGAAAGTCACGAGTTCTGTCTGTTATCGTCATTGCTGTTGTACTTCAGTCACCCATGAGCATTTCACACACAACTGCTATTTTCTACTGAAGTGAGATTGCTGGGTTTATTCTTGAATAATAGCAGTTTTATAATTGGGTCAGATGGTGTTATTAAACCCTGCTGTAAATACTGTTTTACGCCTCTCTACAGCACTACAGAAAATCAGAGGTCAGCAGCTCAGGGTTACTGAAAATATTCACAATGGGACACATTATAGCATTTGTCTAATTAAGCTGTCTCTGTACTGCGGTCCCTGAAGAAATAACAAAATAAAACAAGTGGGGCATCAAACAGTTGGACTTCTACTGTGGACAAAAAACCCAGTTGGTTCTTTTGATAGAACCAGATCAGAACAGTGACTGTGCATCCTACTAAAGTGCCTGAATCACTTTGGTTTATTAATTTTTATTATACCGTTTTTTTGTTGCTGGGTGTAAGAATCTTTAACCCTTTATAGGGCACTCGGTGAAATACTTGGAAAATAAAAAATTTCAAGCCAATAGTATTGGAATCAATTCAATTCAACTAGGCATGCTTTTAGCAACAGTGGAGAGGAAAAACTCCCTTTTAACATGAAGAAGCCTACAGTAGAACCAGGTTCAGAGTGAGCGGCCATCTGCTGTGGCCGACTGGGATTCAAGGAGACAGAAGCAGACATAGAAAAAGAAACAGAGATACAAAAGGATTTATCCAGGATAAGACCTTATTAACTTTGTAACATTCCAAAAAATATGGATATTTTGATTGCAAAAATTAATGTCAATGTAATAACAAGAAACGCCAACTTGGACTCATCTAATTGGTCTGAATGGCTGGATATAGATCTTGTGCTTCTAGGCCTCACTGAGGGATCGGGGGGTTTACATTTGTAAGGGGTATGCAACTGATCAAAAAGTGTAACTTACTCTGTGGGTTAATTGGTTGCCCCCAAAAATGAATCCATGTGATTTACTTACCCTGATTGTTTTCCGTTGTTCAGGCCACACCCCAGCTCTGGCCTGCGCGCCCAACAAGGATGTGGCCGACTGCCTGGCTCTGATCCTGTCTACCATGAAGCCTTTCCCTCAGCGGGACCCCTCCTCCTGCTCCTCCTCCTCGCCCACCGTTCCCTCCTCCGCGGGTCTCAACTTGCTGAAGCACTGCGGCATCACCGCCGCCTGTTCCCCTCTGCCCAGCAATGGCCTCCACAACGGCTACGTCAAAGACCGCCATGGTGCACCGGTCAGCCTGGACGGGTGTCTGTCCGAGTGAGGTCACCTGACCCTCTTCAAACTCGGTCAGCTGCTATCAACATCACCACCACCAGGGGGCGACTACCTTAAACATGGTCAAGAGGACCAGAAGAGCACCCACCCACATGTCTGTTTTCTCTGTATGTACGTGATCGTTTGTCTGCGTGAGCGTTTGGTCTTCTCTTGAGGTGCAGTCAAACCTATTATGCAATTAGATCCCATTCCTCCATCTCCTGGTAGTGCTTAATGCAAAGAGGCAGATCACTCTACAAGGTCACTAAGATGAGGCATTTAAGATAAACACTAGCAATCTGGCCATCTCTAAATTATTTAACCCTTTAAAACCCTGCTGACAATATAACCAGCTTTTCAGAGCATGGAGGTCTCTCTATCAGCTGTCATTTCCTTCATATCATGTAATAGAAGTCATATCATGTTTAACCAATAAGGTGACCTTGTAGAGGATCATACAGCCTTCCCAAAAGAATGATCAAAGAGTTTTTTTGTTTGTTTTTTGAGCTTTTTTTTTTGTCTATTAGCCTAGATTTTTATGAAGGAACCACACAAGGGAAAGTCAAAGGTTTTGCTTCAGAGTGCAATGCTTTTTTGTACTACAGTACAATCTGAAATTAGGAGAAAAGGGTCATAAAGTTGTTAAATCTTTAGCTTACTCTAAACTTATGGCCTAGAATTGTTTGGCATTTTAAGATGATTTGGTAAACGCTGCTGAATTCATTAGCATGTCTCCTTCCAAAGGAGAGCCATTCTAGGGGTCAGCACCATAACATCCTAAAGTTCTGAGTGCTGGCCCTGTTTTGTTGGGGTTTTTTAAGATGCTAAATAAGTGTTCGTTAAGCTAGAATGTTTCTAAGCATATAAGTTATGACCAAAGTTGATCAACACTACTATGGCTATAAATTATTTATTTGAGATGAACTGTACTGTATAGAGAAAGACAGTAGATCTTGATATACCTCGTCAACTCGTTTAGCAGCTGCTTCATCTTCACCCAGGGTCCGTAGGCCTAACGTTCTCTTCTATATTTTCTTTTTTTTTTGTAAGACTTAGAGAACTGCTGTAGGATAGTGACTGACTGAGGCCTTGTTTATTTCTAGATGAAGGCTTTACTAGTAATATCTGCCAACAACACCTCATCGAAGCATCTTTTATCTGAGCACATAAATGAACAAGCCATTTCAATTTATTTCCCATCTCTTTAACAGTGTTTTCCAGAGAAGATTTCACAATTTAAAATGCCTGATTACTGAAAAATAGCAATCAGTCTCATTTTTAGGCACTAACGATTTTTTTTCCTTTTTGTTTATTTTAATTTTTTTCAGTGCGTGTGTCTTTAAATTATCGGCTGGCCATTAACGCGTTAGCTCTCGCTAACAGTATTTCATGGAGCTATTGAATTTGTCTTAAAAATCTACATCACAGCTTCTTGGTGGTGAGATGATCAGTTTGAAAAAATAGTCTTCTTTTTATTATTATTTGGCAGTTTCCAAGCAATATTTTCTTTTTGCCTTTTTGTTGAGCATTATTAAATAGACAATCACTGTCACAAGGGCTTTTGTTTCCCTAGAATGTGTTTTTGGTTTCCTTTTTTTTTTTTCCCCCATTTTGTTTTACCTAAAGACTAAACGAATGGCTCTGTGCGTGCCGGGCATTTTACTGTCAGTGTCAACCTAAATGCACTGGATTGCCTTTGTGGCATCTCAAGAAATGCCTTTTGACCCATGCCTTCTACGACACTTCATTTCAGTTGGATTGCTTAGTGGCAAAGGTGACGAGCCCTGAGAGCGATTATGTTGCCGCCCACCCAATGGCCGCGGCGTTTAACTACAGCTACACCATCGTATCTAATGTTTTAAATGCATAAATAAATGCTTGGCTTATCTTTACTCTCTGGCATTGCTGGTAAAACGGGGAAGTCATTATCTCTCTGAGGGGGGGAAAAAAAAAAAAAATAGGGCTAAGAAGAGAAGAAACATCTTTGCCTTGGCCAGTCCCTGTTTAGATTTCAGGAAGAGCAGAAATCCAAATATGTGCTTTTTTTATTTGTATTAATTTTGTTGCCTCCTCATCCCATTTTCTGGTATTAAGCATACTAAAGATGATTGTAACAGACCACTAGAGCTGTTGGTGACTCTTAGATGTTTTATCTATGCTATTTAGTTGTTGAGCCGTCTGGCGGTGGTTAGCTTACACCGAGTCAGATGGGTTTCCTTGGTGTCCACTGGTATTGAAGTGGCACAATTGCACACGTTTATTTGACTGGACAAGAGGAGAGGACCTAGACTAGGCTTTGTTGTTGAATACACTTAACTAAGGAAAACATGCTTTCACATTGCGTAATAAACTTGATTTTGTTTTGTTTTTAAAACTGACAAACATACTTTAGAGAGCAGCAGTCTCGAGTTAGAGCTGTAGATTAATACTTTATTCAACATCAATAACTGACTGAAACAGGAGATTTGTTCTCCTTTTAGAAAGGCTGTAATGTTAGTTGGGGCTTTTCCAGAAAACCAGTTCCAGTGCTGAACTGTTGCTGTTGCTTATTTGGCACCAGTTATTTGTGAATCAAACCCTCCCAGCTCTCGATCTGTAAATGATTAATTGGTTTGTTATTTGCACCAACTGAAATAAAAGAAGCTCTTTGATCAGAAGCAGTAAAAAAAAAAAAAAAAAAAAGACCTTTGCTTCAACAGTAAAAGATTGTTTATAGGTACAGACGGCAAATGGGACCTTTTCTTAAATATATTAAACTCTTATTTCCTGATTGGTCTTTAAACGTATTTTTGCTGTAATTGGATACGGTTAAGAAATCATGCTCTACTCGCTAACTGCAGTTCCTGCCGGTATTAATCTTAAACCGGAGTTGCTCAATTAACATGGTGATATCTGTTTGCATTGTTAAGGAAAGAGGTAAATGTAATTTGTCTAGTTATACTTTCTGAGATCAACCTAGAAAATTAAAGATAAAAGTGATGGAAGATCAGGAATAGACTGAATGAGATGTAAACCTTGCTCAGGTTGAGCACTGGAACCATTTTGTTGAAAACCCCCCTTTTGAGCACTGAGGGTAGGTACATATTTTTACTGTTCCTCTCAGGATTCCTGCTAAAGCAGCAGGTGAGTTTCTTAATTCCATCAGACCTCTTAAGTCTAAATTTTGTTATTAAGCCAAGAAGTTCCAAAAGTCAATAAAAAAAATAATAATCTTACAGCACTTAATCATAGTCAAGCACGCACTTTAGTACGTTCAGGTTCTAAGTGTGCAAAGTAGAGCAGATTTAATGTATGTACTTATGTTTACATGCATGTGTTGCTGCTGCATACAGGAAATGATGAGAAAGCTCAAGAAAATAAGCAAAGGCTGCAACTAAATTGTACTCCAACCATGCATTATTTAAAGCTATATATATTAAAGAAAGGGTGGGTTTTATTTAGCACTTGGGCACAGTGTCCACTGCCTGATGACTTGTGTTATCTCTTCCCATCACCCAGCCTATTGTAAACAATACAGACTCTGGCCCAAGTCTTGTAAAGTCACTACTGAGATTAAAGCGACACCTCAGGCAGATGGGCTTCACTAAATGTTCTCCATATCAACTCTGCCATCTGTAGGTGCTGTCAGGCGGGCCTGGTTTTAGGCAGGGAGTTTTTTTTTTCTCTCATAATGTCCTTATCTGTGTAGTAAAAGGAGCTGTTGCCCTGTGCAATGACGCTTGATGTGATTTTTTTTTTTTTTTTTCCTTTGTTATACATGCTTCTTTTTTTTCTCCTTTGATCTCATTTTACTTTTTCGTGTACCAGGGATACCAGTGATTGTGCATGGAGCTTAGTCACAGCTGTGATATAGCTGAAAGCATATTATACAATATATTAGTTAAGAGAAAGCAATGAAAGGTCCAATTGTAGCAATAGCGCGTGTGTGAGTGTGTAATAGTGTGCAGCACAAATATTGCACTGCCATCCATTTTAGGCCAATTCAATAAATCATAGCATCAATGCCAATGGAAGATTCAAATGCGGGTTAGATGTCATATTTTATCAAAAATAAGGCCTGTTTGCCAAAATGTGTTGAGAGAGGAAGGAGGGGAACGCCTCTCTATTGAGCAGCAGTGGATTTATGCATATGTTCAAGCAGTTTACAGTCTGACCATCAAATCTGAGCCATGAATTTACTGACTGAAATGAATGTAGAGGTCAGTTCAGAGCACGACAGTTTGCTTTCTCCAGACTTTAAACTGTCTCTCTTCATTTGTCTTGCGTAGATATGAATAAACCAGTAGCATGTAGAAATATAACTCTCTGATTATTCTTATGTATGTGTAGTAGTCTTCCTGCTTTGGAGATCTGAATATGTTGGTATGTTCTTTTTTTTTTTAGTTTCTTATCCCCTCTTTAGGTATCTATAGTGGAAATAACGCAGCTGTATAGAAAATGACGCCTAAATTATACCAGTGTAGATTTATCATTAAAAGTCATCCATTCCATTGAGATTGCCTTACACTACAGTAAAACAAGAGGGACAAAAAAGGTCTACAGTAGATGCGACACATACTCATTAATAGCCTATATTTGACAAAACGCACCTAATTTACACCCATTTAGTGCCATAGAAACCTTGATTTGCCTTTTAGACCCGAATCACATTTGCTCGGTCAGTAACTTCCTCAAACTTATACAGGAATTTTTTTTTTTTTCTCTGAGCTGCATGTCATTAGGCCAGTTATATTACTCAAAAGAAGAATATATAAACATGTGCATGAGAAAATATTTAAAAACAAACATTCTGTTAAATCTTAGTGTTGGTATAATTCTATTTTATAATTTGACCTTTTTTTATGAATATAGGTAGTCCCTTTAGTATTGAAAGCAATCCATTGTTTGTGTGTTCAACAAGGTGGTTTATATTGTGTGTTACAAAGACAAAAAAAAAAAAACATTTTTGATGTCCAAGAAAAAAAAAGCATAGTATACAATACCGAATTGATTTGCCTCAATGGATGTCTTGGTTTTTACTTGAAGTAAATGGCAAATTTCAATTCAACTCTGATCCACTGTTGAGCCTTTTGCCTTAAAATGCTATAACAGAAAATAAAACCTGGCAGCACCAGACGTAACATCTCCTATAGAGTTATGCTACTTGCTTTGATTGCTTAGAAATTGGCTACTTTCAGGTCCCGCAGTCGAGAAGCACACAGATAAATTAAGGTAGCATCTCAAGGTTGCCATGAGATTGTTCTGAGAGGCTGGGATTTCGCCATATTTTCCACTGTGAATGAATTCAGAATTCACTTGTAAACAATCAAACTATGGCTTCTCTGTTATCCAGAGCCAAGTGACACTGGGAATTGATGTTGTGTACCTCAAAATAAAATGTTAAGACAGGAAGGATGCTTGTACAGCTATGCTAACAAAGAGTAAAAAAACAAAAAAACAAAAAAAAAAGTTGTAAATCCATCTTGTGGGTTGTGTAATACTGCTTAAACCAGCCTAAACCTGATGATCTATGCGGAAGCGTTTGATCAGCGTTGGCAGATGTCTCATGTTTCCTACCTTTGCGAATGGGCAGCCAACTGCACCTTGTACTTTTTATTGGACCTGCAGTTTTACCTCATCAGTAATCTTTTGTGTGATGATGCTGACATTGATTGTGTGGTGTGTTTTTTGTTTTTTTTCTTCTCCCCCTCGATGTCAGTCATAGATTATTCACAATAATAGCAGTGTGAGTGTTTCCAACTTTCAATGGAATTATGTCATATCTAAACATGCACAAGCCCTGTCTTCTTCTTCTCTAATCACTGAAGCGCATATTAACCCTTTCAGACAGTTTCCCTTCATTATCATCAACAGATAATTCTGTTATTTGGTGCAAGTCCGAATGAAAAGGTCCAGTTTAATATCAGCTGGGACGTTAAAGGTAGCTATAAAACTTTACCTCTGCAAGTCGAATCAATATAAGTTCACTAGATGACCACCTTCCCAGTCTGAATAGCTGGTTATTCATTCCCTCTACCCCACCAATAGGACCTGTGTAATACCAAGCACAGAGGTGGCACGGTGCCTTTTATTTGTTACTACCGAAAGGTACGGTCTTCCATTTGTATTTCCCAGAAGCCTTACAATGGGGAAAGAAAAATACTCGCTGAACATGTGTGAAGGCAGAACTTAACTCCCTCTGAGCATTGACATTTAAAGGGCATATATCATCATTTTTACAACTTACTTTAATCTTTCCCTTTTGTGCTTGTAGCTCATAACTTTTTTACATAGCTGGACTTGAGAATTTCTTTTAAAAGCAAAAGGTGGTAAGCACAAGGTAGACAAAATACAATAGACAACAGACAATAAAGACTTTAGCTGCAATTTGAGTTCATATGGTGAATTATCCAGTGAGCAGTTAATCAAGGGAAATGTTTACAAACCAGTACCCTGTTGAGTGATTAGAAACTACTAAAATTCTGGTTGCATTCAGACCGATGAAGTTTCTGCTTCAGTTATGGCCAACATTTTTGCTCTGATTAGAAGGTGCAAGACAACCCAAACACTAACAAGAATCAAACTCTTTTTAGTCTGTTTTCACCCACCAATGTTCACATGTTTGGGAATAAAAAAACAAAACATTTTCTTAATTGTTGAATGAAAAGAAATGTTTAGTATCGATGTCAAGTCCCCTGCAAGGAGCGGACATAAATTATTCACTCAGTTATATATTCACGCTTTCTTCATTCTTTTGGGACAGCCACGGGAAAAAAGAAAATGAGTTTTAACTGAAGCAGCTTATCATGGCTTAAAGCAAAGGAATATAGTTGAAAAAGAAGCTGCAAAGGCCTTTGTTTCATTGATGATATTTGCTCTTTAAATGATATTTTGATTAAAAGTCTAAGCCTAAATTACGGCCTCTAGATTAGCTTGGATTTCTCTACGTTTTCTGTGACAATT